AATCCAAAGAATTTGTTACTTGATCGGCTGTTTTCTGTGCTCGGAGGGAGAAGAGTGGTGGTGGAGGAGGAGGTGATGGTGGAGGAGGAGAGACTATCTATGCATCTCATAAAACATGGTAGGATTTTAAAGCAAATGATGTGAAAGGCTCCAAATGCAATCTAATGAAATAGCATTGGATTTGCTAAGTGAGAATCAAAATGGAAAGCCAGGATTAAGTGGCTATGTTTCAAATATAGGGTTATGCCAGATATTCAGTTGCCCCAGATGTTGGGGAAGGGCTGTGGCTAAGTGATACTCCATCTGCTTAGCCTGCAGAATATTACAGGTTGGATCCTGGGTGTCTCCATAGACTCCTACCTGAAACCCTGGAGAGCTGATGCCAGTCACTGTGTAAACAGTCCTAAGCTGGAAAAATAAAAGATCTGATTCAGTGTGGGTGGGTGGTGTTTGTGTGTGTTAGGTTGTGCACAGGATCTGCCTGAATCTCAGATCCTGAACAGAATCAGACTAATTCAGGTTGACTCAGCATTTGGTCAGACTGAGTTGAGGCAGCTCCTAGTCACCCTGGGTTGAATTCAGAGCAATCTGGTGCTGTTGTAAGGGGAATGGTCTGGTGGTGAGGAGAATGGGGAGAAGGAGACAGGTATCTCCTTTTATCGCCACCCAACTGCAAAACTGTAAGGCCCCAGATTAGATCAGGCCCTGGATCTGGGTTGTGTCACCCCCGTAATCAGATTGGGACTGCTCTAAAGGCCAGATCAGGCCTTGAATTAGGGGAGTTGTGTACATCCCTAGAATAAGGCACTTCCTAGGTTCCTAGTAGCTGTTCCAAAGGTTGCTCACAAGTAATGTTCAAGTATAATCTGTTTATTTTTTTTAAAAAAATATATATTTATTAAAGTTTTGAATAAACAATACAAACTTCACAATCAACCGAAGGGAAAAAAAAAACATCATCACACACAAAAAACAAAAAAATACAATAGACAATACACACAAGATAAAAGGAAAAAAGGGGGAAAATATATATTAAAAAGTGAAAAACATAAAAAATCCAATTTTTAACTTATTATTCTTATAACCTTCTTTTCTGACTTCCTCACACCCCCCTTTTCTGTGTTCCCTTTTAAAAACTCATAATCAGCAGTAATTTACCTTCTTTCAAATCTTATTCTGCATTATACTTTTCAAGCTATTATGTCTCCAATTTTCCTTTCTTTTTAAATCCATTTTTACCTAATCCTTATAGCTTAATCCCTCTGTGTCATATAGTTTACATTTGACATAATATTATTCAATTTTTCCACCCTTATTTCTTTAAAACATTTTATACATATTTCTTTCGACTATGTCACTAATGCCATATTATCTTTACAGCCTGTGCATCATTTTAACATTCAAACATTTTGCAATGTCTTTGAACTTCTTCCAATCCTCTTCTACTAACTCTTCTCCCAGGTCTCGGATTCTGCCAGTCATTTCTGCCAATTCCATGTAGTCTATCACTTGGATCTGCCATTCTTCCAGAGTGGGCAAATCTTGTGTCTTCCAGTATTTTGCAATGAGTATTCTTGCTGCAGTTGTTGCATACATAAAAAAAGTTCTGTCCTTCTTTGGCACCAATTGGCCGACAATGCCCAGAAGGAAGGCCTCTGGTTTCTTAAGGAAGGTATATTTAAATACCTTTTTCAGTTCATTATAGATCATTTCCCAGAAAGCCTTGACCTTTGGGCACGTCCACCAAAGGTGAAAGAATGTTCCCTCAGTTTCTCTACATTTCCAACATTTATTATCAGGCAAATGGTATACTTTTGCAAGCTTGACTGGTGTCATGTACCACCTATATATCATTTTCATAATATTTTCTTTTAAGGCATTACATGCCGTAAATTTCACACCAGTGGTCCATAACCGTTCCCAGTCAGCAAACATAATGTTATAACCAATGTCCTGCGCCCACTTAATCATAGCTGATTTGACCGTTTCATCCTGAGTGTTCCATTTTAACAGCAAGTTGTACATTCTTGAAAGTACCTTAGTTTTAGGTTCTAGCAATTCTGTTTCTAGTTTCGATTTTTCCACCTGGAAGCCCAAGTATAATCTGTTTAACCATGGTACACAGTAGCTGAGCTGCATGCGTGTGCTGTTATTTATATGTAACACTGAACGACTGTTCAGCCTGTGTGCATGTGTGTGCAATTGCTGAGCTGCACAAGTCAGCAAGCAATTTCACACAACCCCTAGTATGTTTCTAGAGACAGCTTGTCCCTGGGTTCAGTGCAATGTGTGAATCAGCCTCTTGCATCTTTTGTTGGGCCAGAGGGTAGCATGAGTTGGATGACCATGTAGTAGATGGACAACACGTACACCATCACACAAGGCAAGTACTTCCTGCTTCCCTACCACCAGGCTAGTAAAAGCACCTCCAGCATTCCCTCTCTCTCCCTTTCTCTTTCTACCAACCCCGTGGGTGTCAACGGCAACACTAATTAGCTGTGTTCCCAGTTGATTAAAATCATAAATATCCCGCTTTGGCCTTGGCTGGAGGACAGGAAGGTCAGAGGGAGGCACGTGTAAAATTCCCTGACTGATTAAACTTTCTATAATGCATGGGGATGTTTTACTGCTGCCGGGTGATTTGGCAGTGCATGACACTCCCTCCTGTCTTTCTCCTCCATTCTCTGGCTATTATTTCACAGGCTGGTGGACAAATTGAATGGAGACAAAAGGGCTGAGTGGAGAACAGGGTTTGCTGGCCTCAATGTGCATCCCTTAATTTGATTAACTTCGGGGTGAAGGAACTGTGGATAACTTTGGTGATAACGACTGCTCTTTCTCAATTGGGCTCACCAGCAAAATACAGCCTGTTTGTTTTTTGCCTGATGTGAAGGATGGATTGCTCCAGATTCACTCTGGTTGGTTTAATTTGCAGAGCAGCATCACTCACCTGACCTCAGGAAAGCTATGTTGCTGCTGCTTACCAGGGAGAAAGATGGAGAAGCAAGGCAGCAGGAATTTAGGTGCGGTGCAAACACAGTGGTAGAAACACCAGATTGGCTCTGCCAGTGCCTTTGCACTGTGACAACCTCCCCACCATCTCAGCTCTCCCTACTGGTAAGCAGCAGCAATTCAACTATTGGGAGGTCCAGTGACTGCCACCACAACACCACACTGTCTGCTACCTCCCAAGGCCACCTGGTGTGTAGAAAAGAGAGACCGAACCATAGTCTTTTGGTTGTGGCTCATACTCTACGCCGTTCTGCTTCACCGGCTGTGAATCACACCGATTGATTCAAGCTTGCAGCCCCCAAATGTCCCATCTCTTGTCAGGACACAGCATCTCATGTCAGGGATGACCTCCCGCCATTCCTTGCATTACAAAACAACAGCCAAACCTTGGCTGCTTCCTCAGCAGAGAGTGTGAGGTCGCATCAATGCATGGTCTGTCACTCTCTGGATGCAGAGGGAGGACAGGCCTGTGCAATCTGGTACTCATTGTCTGGTAATAGCTTAATTATCTCAAGGGGGCGGGGGAAATGCAGAGTGGTTGTGAGCCTGATGAACCATGAAATTATCAGTGCTCCAAGGAGCCATTTATCACCGGGCCTTTCGCAGTGAGAGGGGACAGGCCCAACGTGGGAGAGGAGGAGCGAGGGATTTCTGCTGATTCGGTACCCTGTGGAATGCATTCTGGAGAGTCTGCCCAGGGTGAACCTTCCAAACAGCCAGTGAACCCTGGAGGGGAAGGGGCAGGAAAGCATTTTGAAGAGAGATTTTTGCGCTGTCGAAGCTGGATGAAATGCACGGCCCAGAAGCCCAGTGAATACATTAGGAAATTTGCCTAAGGAGACAATTGGTGATCTTTTCACTTCCTCATCAATGGAGAAGGGTTGTTGTCAGGCTGAACCCATAATCACATTCTGCAAAGCTCAATCTGCATGGCTATTAAGAGGTGGGGGCTGGTTTCTCCTTCATTCCTTATGTACTTTTCAGTCCAGAATTCTGGCTCATCCTATGGCTTCTGCCTACCGGGTTGTCTTCAATGGCTCCCCACAGTCCTGTCAAGAGAATAGCTAAGGACATAAGAAGAGCCTGGTGCATCAGGCCTGTGGCCCATCTAGTCCAGAATCGTGTTCTCACAGTGGACAACCAGATACCAGTGACAAAATCTCAAGCAGAACCTGAGTGCAACAGCACTATTCCCTCCTGAGCTTCCTAGCAACTGGCATTCAGAAGATACAAGTCTCTGTGGAGGCAGAACATAGCTAGCTAGCATGGTGTAGTGGTGAGAGTGTTGGACTAGGACTTGGAAGACCAGGGCAGGGTTCAAGTCCCCACTTGGGACCATGAAGCTACCTGGGTGATCTTGGGCCAGTCACTGACTCTCAGCCTAACCTACCTCATAGGGTTGCTGTGAGGATTAAATGAGGAAGAGAGAGAACCATGCACAGCACCTTGAGCTCCTTGGGGGAAAGTAGACTATAAATGCAATAAATAAATTAAATAAATAAATAAACCTGCCTACCAGGGTTATTAGCCATTGATGGCCTTATGCTTAATCCTTTTCTAAATCCATCAACACTGGAGGAGATCCCTACATCTTGTGGGAGCAAATTCCATAATCTAACTATGCCAGACTAGGATTTGAACCCAGGTCCAGGTCCAACTTTTTAATCAGCTTTAATGTATGAGTCATTTATTTATTTGCGTGCTCCTTTTTTTAAAAAAAAAAAGAAAAAAAGTGTGCATTTGCATTCCTTTCGATGTAAAGTGTGAATCACAAGTGCTGACAACTGTGTGTTTACCGAGGAAAGGATCCAGCACATCCAATCGTAATAAAGATCCGGGTTGGGTCCTGGCTTCCCACTGGGTGTACTTTCAGTGACTTGCCCGCATTTGCATTGCAGAATGTGTGAAAAGAGCCCTACGGGTGGGGAGATCATGAAAGGCTCCTTGCCTTTTTAAAAAATATAATAAAATAAAACATTTGTTTACAGCGTTCATGGCACGAGAAGCGAGCTGGATCCTCCAGCCCATTCATTTTGATGCCAAGCCTGCCCCGAGTGATTGTTTTGGCCAGAGGTGATGAAGAAGCAGGCGACACCACCACAGAGTTCTCTCCAGGCAAGTCTTGCTTAAAAGCGATCCGTGGAAAGGAACAGCCAAGTCGGACAAGCAAGACATTGTTGGCAAGGAACTCAGAGAGGAAAACAAAACACTTTTCCATGGGCTATTTTAACATACCGAACGGGCTTGAAAACAAGGGATGGGTGGGATGGGCTTATGCTAACATGGCAAAAGCCACAGAGACCCTGTGCAGCAGTACTTGCATGCTTTAAGGTCAAATGCGTGCCATTGTCCCATCCTGTGTAATGCCCCCCCAACCCCAAAGCACCATTTCTCATAACCCCACTCATGTTATAGGAATCTGCTTTATACTTTAGTCAGGGTGTTTCCGGACCATCCGTTTTTCTGGGTGGGATTCAGTCATGTACCAGCAAATCCAAGCTGCATGGTTACATTTGATTGGGAGGTCATGCAAGCCCAATCTAAAGGGCAAAGCTCAGATGACCTTTCTTTAACATATATAGCATGATGTTATTTCTTAGACCAATATTGAGGCCCAGTGCCATCGGTATATGCAAATGCCTGGCTCATTTAAGGCTATATAGAATCTTTATTTTCAGTAATGATGCAACTCACAGGTGGAGAATACTTTTATTTGTATATGTCTTTATTGTTTGCAAAGGGAATCATTGTATGAGTTAGTTCTTTACTATTGATTTGTAGCTGCACTGTGTCTTTTTCTACTTTTGTCTTTCTAGGCCATGATGCTTTGTGGTTCGATTCTTTGTTTCCTTTCTTTTGTTATGTTTGCATTATTAAAATGCATCAATAAAATTTTAAAAATATACAGAAATCCAGTGAAAACAAAACTAAAGCAGCGTGAAAATATTAAACAAATTGAAAGATGCTAAATTTATACCCGTGCATAAGAGCATTATCAGGAAATGCCATCCAAATGCACTGTATTCATATTATTCCAGAGGGTAGCTAATGAAAACACAGTGCTTGGCGATAATCATCTATCCTGATGGTGAGGAAAAAGAAAATAAACCTTCTCTGCTGGGGGGTTGGGTGTCTTTTTGAGAGGAGGGTCCTTTATAGATTGCTAATGATTTCTTCAAACTCCTTTTTACACAGCACAAGCTCATCCTGTTTCTTTCCTTTAAAAAAAAAAAAAAAGCCTGCCAAACCTCCATGCACCAAGTTGGGGCGGGGGCTGGAATTTAATAAAGTTCCTTCAATCTCAGGAAATGAAGTTTTTGCCTCTTTGAGTTCCATTTGGGAAGAAATGTTCCATTGTGGCAAATGCAAAGCAAGGCTGCATGCTTTAAGCGCTTTTCAAGCGCTTTTCTCCCTGCTTGAGAGGACTCAGTTGCCGGCATCTGCCTCTCTGTGAAAGCTGATGATGGGACATTGAGATTTCATGGAGAGGCACAGTTTTGCTTCATTTCTTATAAGGAAGGAGAAACTCTCGTGTTAATCAATGGCCTGTACCTCATTGTGTGAAGGGTGGGGAATGCGGCCCTTGATGCATCTCCAGCTAACCCTCAGCACTCTTCTCATACCACAGCACCCACTGGCCTCCTGAAGTGTTTTTGCCTGGCTGGAATGTGTCCTTGAACTCTATAAATTGCCTCTTGTTTGGATGGATGGAGAAGTGGGTGTGAGTGTTGGTAGGAACTATCCGATTGTGTTGTTGTTGTTGTTTAGTCGTGTTCGACTCTTCGTGACTCCATGGACCAGAGCACGCCAGGCACTCCTGTCTTCCACTGCCTCCCACAGTTTGGTCAAACTCACATTCGTAGCTTCGAGAACACTGTCCAACTATTTCGTCCTCTGTCGTCCCCTTCTCCTTGTGCCCTCCATCTTTCCCAACATCAGGGTCTTTTCCCGGGAGTCTTCTCTTCTCATGAGGTGGCCAAAGTATTGGAGACAGCTTCAGGATCTGTCCTTCCAGTGAGCACTCAGGGCTGATTTCCTTCAGAATGGAGAGGTTTGGTCATCTTGCAGTCCATGGGACTCTCAAGAGTCTCCTCCAGCACCATAATTCAAAAGCATCAATTCTTCGGTGATCAGCCTTCTTTATGGTGAAATTTACATCAATTGCTCCACCCACTTTTGACTCTGGCCCCACTCACCACAGACATGTGCCATCACCTCCCCCGCCCCCCAGGCCCAGAAGGAACTCATGGAGGCCTCTTTCCAGTCACCTGCCACTACCTGGTCCTTTTCAATGGGGATGCCATGGATTAAACCTGAGACCTTTTGATGCAAAGCAGATGCGCTACCCCTGAGCTACAGCCCTTTTGCCAGCCTGCCTTTCCTCTGAACAGTTTTCCTAGCACAGTCAGAAGAGGTGCCATTGAAGGGGTGAGAATTCAAAGCAAGCACCATTTGGCTATGGTCACTTCCACAAACAAGGCACACCCTGGGTCCTCTGTGCTCATATGGAAATGGAGCCCAGGGCAAACATGCCCAGTGGTGTCACAGCATCATTTTTATATGACCCGTTGCATCTGAATCACCACAGCTATTATACCTGATAGAGAAATTGAACTTCCATGTATAGGAAGAGTATACCTATGAATACCACACAGGTGAGAGCAAACAAGAAGGCAAGGCTTCATGCCCTGCTTAAAAGCATCCAGAGGCAGTCATTACCATTCTTCTTTATTCTTTGTCATCCTTTGGGCTTTGTGTTGTTCTTCAATCACAGTCTGCATTTCCCTTTCCTCTGGGTTTGGGGAAGGGCCATGGCTCAGTTGTAGAGCATCTGCTTTGCATGCAAGAGGCTGCAGGCTCAGTCCCTGTCATTTCCAGATATGGTTGGGAGAGACTCCTGTCTGCCACTCTGGAGAATAGCTGCCAGTCAGTATACACAATACTGAGCTAGGATGCTTCTGCATATACATTGAAAGCAGCTGTGTCATGCCACTTTATGAACATTCGTGACTTTCCGCAAAGAATCCTGGGACTTGTAGTTTATTAAGGGTGCTGAGAGTTATTAGGAGACTCCTATTCCCCTCACAATTCTAAAAGTTCCCTGGGGAAAGTGATATTGATTGTTAAACCTCTCTGAGAATTGTACCTCTGCCTCTCAAAACTTGGGTTTTCAATGCTTTTGAGGCAAAATCCAATCTTCCTCTTGCAGTATTAGCCATCAGTTTCCTCAAACATGACTGCACAACACATTTAAAGCTGTGCTATAGCATTTTAATAGTCATGTCTTCCACCCAAGAATTTTGGGAACTGTAGTTTTTATGGTGCTGAGAGTAGTTAGGAGACCCTAGGTCCCGTCACAGAGCTGCAATTTCCAAAGTGGTTTAACAATCCATCCTTCTGCCAAGGAACTCAGAGAATGGCAGCTCTGTGAGAGGAATAGGGGTTCTCGTCACAACTCTTATCACTCTTAACAAACTGCAGCTCCCATAATATCTTGGGGGAAGGCATGCTTTAAATGTATTGTGAAAATGAGACCCTAGATGGACCCAGTGTTCTGACTAAGTAGAAGACAAGCTATTATGCTCCATGACTGGGCTGAATTATAGTTTGCAGGAACCTGTCATCTGTTTTGTAGGCAGTGACATAATCACAAGAGCAGCTGATCGTTCAATCTGTGCATTCAAAGTGACTCGTTCCAGGCACCTCAAGTCAAATCACATGGAACAGGAGAACACCGTGTTTGGCTGCCAGCAGACCTTCTCCAGCAACAGACCATGTTTTGAATTCCCAGGTGGTCGAAACACAGGTTGCACGACTTTCCTTTGCCCCATGATTTCTAGGCACAGATCTGAGAGGTTTTCCTTTCGCACTACTCCTTTCCCCGGGAAAAGCACAGTTTACTGTTGAATTGTAACAAATGTTAACCTGTGGAAAACCTGATAGAAGTTTGTTCCACAAGACAAGCGGAAGTATGGATGAGTCCTTAGTATAAAGATCCTTTCCTGGTGCTTAAATCTTGGGATTGCTGACATTGTCTGTTAAACTCAGGATTGCTGAGAAATCTCAAATTAAAGAGAATTCAGAAGCTTGATGGGTTTTTTATTTTTTCTAAGCCCCCTGGTCCTAAAAATTCTTCCTGATGCCAATTTTGGCAAAGGATTCAGTCTACTCAAGTTCTCCTAATGATATCCTTCCAGGGGTAACACCAGGCTTGTTTGATTTGGAACATATGCCACACAAGCTGGTATGTGGTGTGGTTTGGGGCAGAGCTAAATCCATCCTTACAGTTGCTGCATTATGAGGAGCCTTTTATCAAACCAGTTCACCTCCCCTGATCCTCCACAGGGCATTGCGAGAAAATTATAGGTTGAGGAACGCCTCGCCTCGCACCCAAATGTTGGCAGTATGAAAGAAGGCAGCCTAGCCGAGAATTCAGGAATGGAGCCAATGGATTGCTCTTTGATTGGTAAGATCGAAAACATGCCGTGGGTGTGCAGTTGTAAAGCGATTCATAAATCTGATGTTACATTTCTTTTCTTGCATGTTTAGCTGCAGTCAACTCTCTCGTCACTCGGAGCGTGAGATTCCCCTCTTTAAATCCTTGCCCTGGCTTCCTGTCGGTTCCCATATCCAGTGCAAGCTCCTCCTTCATATTTTCAAAAGCCCTCCATCATTTTGCTTCTCTTATTTTCCCATCATTATATGGAATGGGGAAATCTCAGTCCAGGGGCCAAATGTGGCCCTCTGGACATCTCTATATGGCCCCTAGGGTTCTCCCTAGGAAAAACATACTGAGTTACATCCTTTACTAGGCCTGCCTTGCACTATCCTCAAGCGTTTTTGGCTGGAACATGTCCCTGAACTCCGATAATGCTTCTTCTTTGCCTAAATGGAGAATAGAGAGGGATGGAGTCATGCCTGGACTACCATCAAGTGCTCTTTGTGGGGTTTCCCTATAGATTAGTCCGGAAGCTGTAGCTGTCTGGAATGCTGTGGCCAGGTTCTCAAATGGACATGCGTATATTGTGGATTGTCAAATTTAAGGTTGGGAAAAAGGAGAAACTGAGGGCAGCCAAAACTGATAGATTCATTCATCCCTAGTTTTTCACACAATTTACCAGTCCACATACTATGTTATAACTAATCCTAAGTACATGAAACTGGAATGATCCTTGTTTAAGCCCCCATCCTTCCTTGGTTGCCTTCTCTGCAGTGAATTTTATTATTTGTATGTCTGCTGTTTTAGATTGTTAGTTCCTTGGAGCAGAGACCTGCTCTCTTCTTTGCTGTTTGATTTAGGTTACCAGAGGGCAACATACAGAACACAAGTAGAGGGGCCCTGTAGCTCATTCAGTGCACCCACCCCAAGCCCAGAGAGGGGAGAGGAGGAAGAGAGAGAGAATATAAGCAAATGAGGGATGGATGGAGGGCAGAAAGGGAGAGAAAGAGAGAGAAAAAGAGTGTCCCACTCACTTGAACGTACAAAAATCAGAAGAGGCTGCTGGATCAGGCCAGTGGTGGCTCATCTAGTCCAGCGTTCTGCTCTCACAGTGACCAACCAGATGCACCCAAAGGGAAGCTCTGAGTACAACAGCACTTTCTCCTCCTGAAGTTTCCAACAGCTAATATACTGCCTCCGACTTTGGAGGCGGAACCCAGCCAACAGGGTTAGTAGCCAATGATAGCCTTCTCCTCTATGAATTTGCCCAAGCCATCCAAGTTGATGGCCATCACTGGCACTTGTGGAAGTGATTTCCCTAGTTTAACTATGCACTGTGCTCTTGTCCCACTCACACCACCATTGGTATGTGCCCCCCAACTACTTTCTGGTGGTAGATTGTAACCTCCTCAGGGCAGGGATTTCTTCTGTTGCACTATGCACTCTAATGGAGTTACAGTGACA